CCCCCCCCCCCCTTTATAAACTGAGATGTCCCAGACTCCCCCAGCTCCGGCATCCCTTGGATTTAGGAACCAGCCAGTAGATGAGGCACAGGAGAGGCATGGACAAGAAGATGGTGCAAGCAATGAAGAGCTTCCAAACCATAGTACTCCCCCTCCACCCGGACAGCTTCCCACTCCAGATGGAGGAGAGGACCTGCTGGCAGATGGGATGCGCCACAAACTGGAAGAAGAAGAAGATGAGATTAGACCACAGAGGAGTTCACCAACCAAGTCTGTACGTATCCCAATACTGAGTGTTGTCAGCCATCAATCGACCCATGAGTCCGGGGCACAGTCACCTTCCAGCAACTCTATTGGTAACACCCGCTGTGCACATTATGAGGGGCTCCCACCATCCCTGTGCTGAGTTCCCGGGTCTGTACCCCCGCTGTGCACATTATGAGGAGCTCCCACCATCCCTGTGCTGAGTTCCCGGGTCTGTACACCCGCTGTGCCCATTATGAGGGGCTCCCACCATCCCTGTGCTGAGTTCCCGGGTCTGTGCACCCGCTGTGCCCATTATGAGGAGCTCCCACCACCCCTGTGCTGAGTTCCCGGGTCTGTACACCCGCTGTGCCCATTATGAGGGGCTCCCACCATCCCTGTGCTGAGTTCCCGGGTCTGTACACCCGCTGTGCCCATTATGAGGGGCTCCCACCATCCCTGTGCTGAGTTCCCGGGTCTGTACACCCGCTGTGCCCATTATGAGGGGCTCCCACCATCCCTGTGCTGAGTTCCCGGGTCTGTACACCCGCTGTGCCCATTATGAGGGGCTCCCACCATCCCTGTGCTGAGTTCCCGGGTCTGTACACCCGCTGTGCCCATTATGAGGGGCTCCCACCATCCCTGTGCTGAGTTCCCGGGTCTGTACACCCGCTGTGCCCATTATGAGGGGCTCCCACCATCCCTGTGCTGAGTTCCCGGGTCTGTACACCCGCTGTGCCCATTATGAGGGGCTCCCACCATCCCTGTGCTGAGTTCCCGGGTCTGTACACCCGCTGTGCCCATTATGAGGGGCTCCCACCATCCCTGTGCTGAGTTCCCGGGTCTGTACACCCGCTGTGCCCATTATGAGGGGCTCCCACCATCCCTGTGCTGAGTTCCCGGGTCTGTACACCCGCTGTGCCCATTATGAGGGGCTCCCACCATCCCTGTGCTGAGTTCCCGGGTCTGTACACCCGCTGTGCCCATTATGAGGGGCTCCCACCATCCCTGTGCTGAGTTCCCGGGTCTGTACACCCGCTGTGCCCATTATGAGGGGCTCCCACCATCCCTGTGCTGAGTTCCCGGGTCTGTACACCCGCTGTGCCCATTATGAGGGGCTCCCACCATCCCTGTGCTGAGTTCCCGGGTCTGTACACCCGCTGTGCCCATTATGAGGGGCTCCCACCATCCCTGTGCTGAGTTCCCGGGTCTGTACACCCGCTGTGCCCATTATGAGGGGCTCCCACCATCCCTGTGCTGAGTTCCCGGGTCTGTACACCCGCTGTGCCCATTATGAGGGGCTCCCACCATCCCTGTGCTGAGTTCCCGGGTCTGTACACCCGCTGTGCCCATTATGAGGGGCCCCCACCATCCCTGTGCTGAGTTCCCGGGTCTGTACACCCGCTGTGCCCATTATGAGGGGCTCCCACCATCCCTGTGCTGAGTTCCCGGGTCTGTACACCCGCTGTGCCCATTATGAGGGGCTCCCACCATCCCTGTGCTGAGTTCCCGGGTCTGTACACCCGCTGTGCCCATTATGAGGGGCTCCCACCATCCCTGTGCTGAGTTCCCGGGTCTGTACACCTGCTGTGCCCATTATGAGGAGCTCCCACCATCCCTGTGCTGAGTTCCCGGGTCTGTACACCTGCTGTGCCCATTATGAGGGGCTCCCACCATCCCTGTGCTGAGTTCCCGGGTCTGTACACCCGCTGTGCCGCCCATTATGAGGGGCTCCCACCATCCCTATATTGAGTTATAACAGGAGGAACTGGAGCACACAAAGGTCGGAGAAGTCTTCAGGTGGTCATGAACAGAGACAGGAACTATGGCGGGGTAATCTCACTGTTGGAGTGTCCAAGACATAAGAAGCCAAAGGCTGACTAGGCCCCCCAGGCTCTGAACGCACCCGGATTCCCCCTTTAAGATGACCTCAGTCTCCAGCTCCGGTCATCTACGTCTATGGGAACGCGGTGATGTGCGGGAAAGGGAAACGTTACCCTTTTCTGTTTGTGGTGTACGGCAAGCCGCAGCCTGGCTAGGTTGGGGATCCCTTCCTCAAAGGCCTGATTGTCCAACTCCTCCTCATCGCTGTCGTCCTCGCAGTCGTTCAGCACCGCCGTGACTTCGCTCTGGTTGCGGCACATGCCCAGCAGCTCCACCGCAAACTCCTGACACAGGTCCTCCAGGGCCAGGTACTCCGGCTGTGGGAATCACAGAATTAGAGACAACGACTTCACATTGGCTTATCCTTCCCTGACAGTGGAAGATCTCTCATTAAAGTGTCCAACAACGATAAATAGAACTGGGCAGGGTTGACAACTCAAGTTTCAGACGGAGGAGGCACTGTGTTGTTAAATCGGGGTGAACTTGGAATGTTCTGCAGAGGGGTCCAGAATGTTTTTGTTATATTTGCCCCAACATGCCCTACACTGTGCGTCCATACAAAGGACCTGCCCCTCAGCTCTGATTGGATGGAGGCGTGGTCTGTCACCTGATTCCCTTCCAAATTGTATAGAATTATTTGACTAAAATGTATCAACAAGTATCTAAATTTTGGAATGTCTTCCTTGCACAAGCCTGGAGGGTGTAGTACTAGGTGTATAGACACTGAGTGGCCGGATTATTATATACACCGAGTGGCCAGATTATTATATACACTGAGTGGCCAGATTATTATATACACTGAGTGGCCAGATTATTATATACACTGAGTGGCCAGATTATTATATACACTGAGTGGCCAGATTATTATATACACTGAGTGGCCAGATTATTATATACACTGAGTGGCCAGATTATTATATACACTGAGTGGCCAGATTATTATATACACTGAGTGGCCAGATTATTATATACACCGAGTGGCCGGATTATTATATACACCGAGTGGTCGGATTATTATATACACTGAGTGACAGGATTATTATATACACTGAGTGGCCGGATTATTATATACACTGAGTGGCCGGATTATTATATACAC